ATAGCTTTCACTTTGATTTTTTTCAGTAAATTGCCATAAAAATTACTGACATTTTCAAGCATCAAGCGACTTTTTTTAAAAAGATTGAAAATGCTACCATAAATTTTTTTTAAAAAAAATGAGCAATAATTACTAAGATATTTACTCTACCAGTAGGAAAAAGTAATCAGTCAAAGGAAGTAAGTAATCCAAAATTATTTACTTTTTTAAACTTCTGTTCAAAAAATAATCTAACAGTCGAAAAAATGAAAAAAAAAAAAAAAATTATAAAAGGTTCAAACTCGAAAATAGCATTTTTAACAAACGTTATATTCTTTGATACTTCAAACATGTTTTAAAAAAAAAAAAACTCTTCTTACGAACAGAAACGGGTTGAATTTCAAAATCACAGAGAAAAATTACAAGTCATTTAAAAAAAATATAAATGTAAATTTTTCCCTTGTCAAATGAAAGAAAATAATGTTTTATTAATTATTAAATTATGCAAGTAACAACTCTCAATTAATTTTTCGAGTTTTTTGGGAAGGCTCGGGATGAATTTTCGCTATGTTCACTTCACACTACTAGTCACTTATAATTATAAATAACTTTTTTTTACTTTTACTGAAATAACATCTTTACGGACTTTTGTTTATATAACAGTAAAAAAAAAAAATTTACGACCCCCCCCGCCAATTAAAACGTACCGGTACACACAAGATATCGAAAAGGTGGATTAACTTATATTTCCATAACGTTAAAATAAAATTCAGTATATTATATACAATTATTCATTCGTCAATGAATCATTCATTAGCCTCTGTTTTTTTTTTTTAAATCCGAATTTTTTTTAATGAAATTGTCAGTGGTGTACTTTCATTGACTCAATGAATAAGTACACCACTGACAATTTCATTAAAAAAAAATTCGGATAATTCCATTAGTTTTGGTTTGGGACATTTAAAAAAAAAAACAGAGGCTAATGAATGATTTGTTGATTTCATTTCGGAAAAAAATGCATAAATTTTGTTTTTGTTAGCGTGTGTATGTGTGTGTGTGTGTGTGTGTAAGGTTCAAAGCCAAAAGTAAATTTGGGGGCTTCATGCGTCGAAAACTACGGAAGAGTCCAATCATCATATGAAAACTTTTATGAACATATTTTTGTTTTTTTTAAATGAATGGACTGTTCTACTTTCTTTTCAAAAGTCCTTTTGCAGTTTTCTAATAATAGTTTTTAAAGATTTCGAACAAGTTTCAAAAGACGCTATGAGATTTCTTTCTTTTATGAACTTTTATAATAAAACTTTTGAAATTTCTAAGAACAAAATAAGAAAAAGTAATAAACAACTCCAACATAAAACTTTTAATTCTCGCTCTTACGAGATTTCTAATTAAAATTTATTTAGGAAAATTAAAAATACTCATCATCTGATTTATTATTATTTGTTGTTAAAGTTAAATTAAATATCACACAAAGCTGTTAAAGTTGATTTTAAACAATTAACTTTTTATTTCGTTTAAAAATTAGAAATAAATTAACTGAACAAGAGAGACTGTCTTATTTAACTTAATGAAATGCTGATTTCAAGTAAAACTTAAATGAATCCTGATTTTCAAAGCAAGCTTTCTCGCGAAAGCCGACACTTGCTGATATTTCTCTGAAATCATCAAGTCGTTTCATTTACTTACTGTTTCTGGAGCATTGCAATTTCGAGGATCGTGAAGCAGATAAAAATTTGTTTGACAAAATCAAATTACTATTCAGATACTAAAAAAAAAAAAAAAAAAAGTTTGTGAAATTCTCAGTAGTTGTTTTTAAAACTTTGGGAAAAAAAAATTTGCTTGGCAACGAGTGAAAATATAAAATCTTTTCAGTTGCTTACGAAAAAAAGAATCGTTTCTTTGACGTTTTTGTAGCTGAGCAGGAAGCAGCCAGCCTTTATCACAACACATTTCTCTCTTGACACATTTATGCATCAGCTGGGAACTAACACCATTTAAATTGTTAAAGAAAACTTTATAGCAGTTGGCTCGTTGGTCTAGGGGTATGATTTTCGCTTAGGGTGCGAGAGGTCCCGGGTTCGAATCCCGGACGAGCCCAAGTTTTTTATTTCCAACATTTTGCACTAATAAAGTTGATTACAAATTGAACTTGATTATTTTTTTATACTAAACAAATTTTTTTTCTTAAATTATAAAATTATTTTTACTATATTTTTTGTTTTTAGTCATTTTTGTCTCTTTTTGAAAATCAAAAATATTTGCTGCAAAACATCTTTTCTTTATCACGCGTTTTCCAATTGATTGCCATTAAATATCTAGTTCTTAAGTCAAAGTCTTTAAAGGATTTTTTTTCTTCTCTTTAGGATATTCAAGTGCAAGTCCTTCGAGTTCCTGAACCAAACAAATCCTTTATTTATTTTCATTATTTTAAAGGTTTATTTGAGAAAAAATCTGAATAAAAAAGTGTTCATCTATAAAATAAAAAAAATAATTCATAATCGAATGAGAAAAAAAAATGTAATTATTTACACTATTTATATTGTTTGAACTGTTGTCGTTATCTTTATGATTGCCATATTCACGACGTTTCGGCTGTTGTACGCCCCGGACTTCTTCAGGTGGAATGTTGAACGCTTAGGTCCACGGAAATAGATAGTTTTAATTCCACGTGCCATTGTTTGTTTATATTTATTTACTGTTAGTTCAGCCTATACGAAACACAAAGTCCACACTCAATGTAAAGGTTTGGAATGAGATTGTTGTAAGGGAATGGGAGGAGGAATTAAGACATGCATTTTATGTGGATGGATAGTATAGATATCGGTTGGGCCTCGACATGAAGAGAGAAAGATTGTAGTTGTCAGGGAAGCATCGATTCGGGAGTCTTTTACACAGAGCAACAGTTCTGGGGAAGTAACAGACTGAGTAGAACTTCCTCCTTACCAATGGAATACGAAGGGATTGAGGATGATTCGACACTGAACGTGGCATGGCGAGTACTAAATGTAAACGTCTGAGCAAAGGGAATTAATGAATGTAACTCGTCCGAACTTGTACCACAGGGTAGTGAAAGGCTAGCAACGTTTCGTCTGTGGGATAAGAGTCAAAAGGTGCGAATAATTTCTCATTCACAAGGCCGCGTAAGCAGTTTTGAACTCGAGGCTGGACAGTGAGGATTGGACAACACCAGCCAAAATATGACAACAATACTTTATTCTTGGTCTGATCTGTCTCTTGCACAGATAGATGATGAAAATCTCTCTCTCCAACAAATATCATAAATTATTTTAATAAATTTATTAGTTTGCACACGCCATCAAAACTTACGATATATTTTGTTACATTTTTATTAGATTTTCACTTGTAAATTTTTAAATACATTTTTCCCAATTACCTATATTTGCGTTTTCATATTGTGGGATTACCCGCATTTGGTTTGCCAAGTTTACCAAGACGCCGTTAGGCGGCGATGTTAAACAGCTATAAAAAGGGATACTTCATGTTTTTCATTTTTTTTTCCCTTTCAACATCCGGTAGTAGCCAGACACACGCGGAACTCGTTCTCGGTTTGGGAATAATATATTTTCCTGGGTGGCTTAATTCTTTTAAAACACACACACACACACACACACACACACACACACACACACACACACACACACACACACACACACATGCGCGTATCATAGACACATGCAAACACACAACATTTCTAATAGCTAGGTTTTAATGTGTTCTTTCTTTCCAGTTATTTTTCTTTTTTGTTAATTATTTATTAGCCATATGTAAATATCGCCTTGTTGAAATTTGTTCCATTTCCTTTCACCTTCACTAACAAGGACGACCCGTCATTTCAGGTGCAAATTTTGTTTGCCATTGGTTTTAGTTCAACTGCGTGCAATATGCACTGCTCTTTTTATTTCTTAAATTTTATTGTTGGTTTTGGTCTGTTTCTTTTTTTTCATTCCAAAAGGCCGCCATTCTCATAGTTAAAGACATTGCCACCTGGCATAGCTAATACAAGGGAGATAACTCTTAGTCTCCCATGCATATATTAAAAGTGGCGATATTAAAAGCTATAGAAAAACATATGCAAATCCAATTGGCGTATTAATTTTGTTTTTTAATGAATTCACCCCAAGCAAGGCGACAATGCCACTAAGACACAAGGGGGTTACTGGGAGTGAAAGAGAATGAAATACTTTAGAAGAAATGTAAACCCAATCCTAAACAGGAAACAAAGGATAAACTTCTACTCCTGTTCAAAAGACCCGGGAGGAGTGTGAACCGGATAATAGACGAACCTACCTGCACGGTTTATAAAAATCGATCATACTATAAAGAGAGGACTGACGATTCGAAATTACACTTGAAATATTTAATGAAACAGATTGTATAACAAAATGAAGGAACTGCCCGATAAAATGACAATAAATAAATAAAATAAAGCAAAAATAATCAAAATAAGGAGACATATTTATTTCCACAAACCTTGAACAAGAAATAATGCAAGAAATCTGTCATGCAAAAAAAGCAGTCATCGAAACAGATTGGATATGAAGTACACGCGTAAGTTTACGGCAAATATGATTTGCATGGGTTGGGGCTATAGGTCTTTTTAAATAACAATTCTTGAATTTATTATTTCTGTAAATATGTGTGTGTGTGTGTGTGTGTGTGTTCCGTAATCCGTGAGGTACCAGAAGCACCACATTTGCTGCAACTATAGTAACCGTGGTGTGTCTAAGCCAAAATAACCTGACGAAGCCCATCCCACTTAAGGCTGATTTTGAATTCAGTTTTCCGATACTGGTTGCCGCCCAGTCTGTCCTGCTATTAACCTGTAGCAGGAGGTAAGATGGATTCATGCCTTTTCCACGAAGTGAACGAAAGGGAATCAAGCGAGAATTGAACTGGGAATGTCTCATTCCCTTTCTATGCCGATATTTACCCGCATATGTAATATACAAGCGCTAAAGTACAAAATAAACAAGAATATTTTCTTTAAGTTTCTGTTTATGCTTGGCCAGATTTTTTGGGGGATGTGCGTCGGTCTGAAAACTGTTCATCCGCTTCTCGTACTAAGCATTGGAAGTCATAATTCCTGCATCCAACATTTATAATATGGTTGTTTCATAAGAAATGATAGTTTGTAGGAAATAAATAATGCCACGGACACACAAAAAAAAGTCCCTTTTCAAAGATAGACATTTGATTTTTAAAACCGTCGTTGAACAAAAAAAAATGCTGACAATTATTGGCTGTCTGAAGCGTCATTTTGGATATAAAAAACAGTAATAATCTTCATTGCTTCTCTAAATTAAATTAAGTCAAGTTTGGCGCAAGGCAACATAAAATTTTAGAACAAAAAAAGGAATTAGAATTGTATTTTAACTCGTATTCACTTTTTCGTTTTTCCCCTTTATCCGGACATACCCAACCCTTCTCTCTCTCTCTCTCTCTCTCTCTCTCTCTCTCTCTCTCTCTCCCTCCTTCCCTCCCTCCCTCTCTCTGATCTTTCTTTCTTTTTCTTTCTTTCTTTCTCAATTTTTCTCTTTATTTGCGATATTTTTCATATTAATTTCATCACTACAATTATAATTTACTACGTAGTTACTTTCAGTTCATATACTTAATTTCGAGACATTCAGCGTCAGTTGGCTCGTTGGTCTAGGGGTATGATTTTCGCTTAGGGTGCGAGAGGTCCCGGGTTCAAATCCCGGACGAGCCCTAAATTGATTTTTTTTTCATCATTTTTAATTGCAATAATAAGACAATCATGGGTATTTGAAGGACAAAACTAAAATAAAAAAAATCCTATGTAACGCACGCCTTTTTAGTCTTACTCTTATTTATCGAATATCGAAATAAATGACCATCTTCATCCATAGTGATATCTCACAAATCGAAAAATAATATTATTTTTAACGTATACAGTGTAACCCGGATATAAGAGACCCGGATATAAGAGAAACCCGGATATAAGAGAGATTTTCTCTGGTCCCAGATTAGAGCCTGTGTTAGTGTATTTAAAATAGACCAAACCCGGATATAAGAGAAACCCGGATATAAGAGACTTCTCCGGTCCCGACAACTCTCTTATATCCGGGTGACACTGTATTTGAAAATTCTTTTATGACTTCTTAAAAGATGAGTTTATTAATTCTAAAGCGTACAAAGTAAATATTAAATAATAATTACAAGTTTAAATGAATTTTCAAGGGTGTGCTGAAAAGTTCTCAGATCAATTAAAAAGTAAAACTTTAAAAAATTATATTTAGCCATTTCGCTTGATTATGTTCATAGTACAGGCTGCGAACATTTTATGAGCTCTTCATAATCACATTTGCAGGTTCCGTACTTATTTCATTATGCTGCTTCCTCTGCAAATTCGAAACAGAATCCATATGATACCTTCATCGTGCAGAGGGAATTTATTTACCTCCTGATGAGTGGATGGAGTGATTACCGAGGGGGGGGGGTCCGTCTACAAAACTCTCGAATCGGGATGCTGAAGGTAATATCAATCAGTTGAGTGACAAAGATTTTAATTGTTTGGTTTGGTTTGGTTTAGGACATATCAACCTCAATGTGTTATTTAATGCCGACAAAATTTTTATTGCTGCTAATATTTTTTTTTTCAAAAATGTATTGCTGCTAATATTTTTTTCTTGAAATATATTGCTGGTAATATTTCTTTCCTGAAATATGTGGCTGGTAATATTTTTTTTCAAAAATGTTTTACTGGTAATTTTTTAAAAAAATGTATTGCTAGTAATGATTTTTTTTCTTCAAAAATTCATTGCTGGTAATAACCTTTTATAAAAATGTATTGCTGGCATTAAAACTTATTTTTACACTTTCATAGTGTTTTGACCCCAGTTTGGGGGTCAACTATTCGCCCATAGCTGGGACCCTAACAGGTGGTACCACCCCGGGTCAGGGTGGACCTGGAAACACCAGCAACTAAAAGGTGAATCCACGCTCCTCAAAACCTGATCAGAGGCCTTGCCGTTGGATATAGATTATCGTCTTACTCAGGACGGGCTTTTTTTATTATTATTAATTCTGTCTGTCTGTCTGTCTGTCTGTCTGTCTGTCTCTCTCTCTCTCTCTCTCTCTCTCTCTCTATATATATATATATATATATATATATATATATATATATATATATATAGGGGTATTCGACGGATGAGGGTCAGCAACTCAGTTTCTAAGAACTGACAGCCCAGACACCAGCGCATATGATTTGATTATAATAGTGAGGGCTTTGTGCAGAACCAATCACACTTTTTGAAGGGCCGAATACAGACACCTGGTGCACTATGTGCCACAAGGTCCCCTAAAGTAACTTCCGTACGTTTTGAATTGAGAGTTGTCCTCCTTCTAGACCAGTTACCATCCAAGGTTGTAGAACCCAGTCTGCTAATTACCATGAAGGGAGAAGAAAAGGATTCATATATATATATATATATATATATATATATATATATACTCTATCGCTATTGCCATGGCAGATGTCCGGGCAAACTACATTTCTTGGTTCTACCAGTTCAGGCCTTCAAAGCTAAGATCCAACATGCGACATACACTGTCGACTCATCCTCATTCTCTCCTTCATATACCATTCATAAGGATGAAGTTCTACTCAGGCAGTTGTATTCGCCCACGTCCTGAAGAAAATCATCATCATCATCATCATTGAATGATCGTTTCATACAACCGAATTTTCTCTTCAAGTAACATGTGCTATTCATTTTAGTTGTTGCTGCTGTTGGTAGTCCTCATTTGATGTGGTTTCTGTTATCACTCTTTTCAATATTGATGGCAGTTTCCTTCCTAACCTTTTGTTCAAAGTAGTGTGGAATGTCAACAAAATTATTATGTCATTATTTTCTCTTCAAGTAATATGTACTATTCATTTTAGTTGTTGCTGCTGTTGGTAGTCCTTCAAAGTAGTGTGGAATGTCAGAAATTTGATTATTCATATTTTTTCTCTTCGAGTTCCATGTGATATGCATTTTGGTTGTTGCTTCTGTTGAAAATTGTTCCCTTTATATTTTTGCTTGCTTAATTCATTTCCTATCCGTATGCTGACGGTTTGACACCAGTCAAAATTTTATGCTCTTAATATCTCCATGGGAACTTGAACGTGATGTAATCAAATATCAATCTAGATCAATTGAGACAATAGTGAGTTTAGTCGTCACAGTGTGCCCACACTTTCTGCCTTGTGTCACATCTAAACTATGTTTAGAAAATCACCATTCTCTTTTATCTCCATACTTATCACCTTTTACTTTTCTCTTTGGTAGTTGAGAATCCCATGGACCGAACACGTGCGCAACGATGAAGTTCCAGAGATAGCAAAAAGGTCATTTATGCTTAACAACAGGAAACGACAGTTGAAATTTCTGGGCACGAGGAAAGAAGGTTTGGAAATTTGATACCCATAGGACAGATCGAGGTTAAGATAGACAGCGGAAAGCAACGCATGACCTACATGGCGAGCTTGAGTAAATGGATGGCGGATCAGGGTTTAGGGAAGATAGTAAAAAGACAAAATTTATTAAGCACTACAAAGGACATGAAATTGTGGAGAGCCATGATCGCCAACGTCCTGAGGGAGTACAGTACATAGAAGAAGAAGAATTAGCTTGAGTAAATGGTTGACGGATCGAGGTTTAGGGGAGGTAATAAAAAGAACAAATTTATTAAACTCTACAAAAAACAGGAAATTGTGGAGAGCCACGATCGCTAGCGTCCTGAAGGGACATTGCACATAGAAGAAGAAGAATGAGCTTGAGTAAATGGATGGCGGATCAGGGATTCGGGGTGGATATTAAAAGGACAACATTTATTAAGCACTACAAAGGGCAGGAAATTGTGGAGAGCCATGATCGCTAACGCCCTGAAGGGACACGGCTCATAAGAAGTTGTGACGACAGTAAACAGTGATTTTGTAAGTGTAGTTCAGATGCGGCACAAGGCCGAAAGTATGGAGCACTTAGTGAGGATCGAACGCATTTTTCAGTCGTAAGTGATCTAGCCAGACAAGCTTCCACCATTTCGGCATTAAATGGAAAAAAAATAAGTGTAATATTTTTTTTTTTAAATCATGTTTTTACATGTTTCAAAATACATGTGTGCGTGCGTGCTTGTTCCTGTGTTTGCATGCGTTTCTCTAGATTATGCTAATTATTAAATCTTTCTTTATTTCTTTTTAACTGAACATTATTTAACGTTGACGTCCTTATCCGGTTGGCAATGTCCACTGTCTGACCACTTAATTAATTGTGATCTCTGCTTACGTTTCCAGTCGAACGTACATGATTATAAAAGAAACGATTTACGTCAAGACTTGAGCATGCCGCTCGTCTAATAAATCTTATAATTGTGGACAGTTTATCATTGCCTGTCAGTAGTCATGAACTCGCAAACCCTGTTTTTGATTTTGGTAATATCTTCGGCGTGTGCGTGAAACTCGGATATATCCTTTTGAAAACCCAGGGCTGTACAACCAAGATGCTGCATCACAGACTGTTGGCCTACATTCTAGTCTGCTTATATGGCAGCGGTCTCCAACCACTGGGCCACGGACCGGTACCGGGCTATGGAAAATTTGTTACTGGGCCGTAGACAGAAGAATAAAAACTTTTTTTTCCCCCATTTTATCGATTTGTTATGCACGTGACCGACACCGATCACCACCCCAGGCTTCGGAAGAATTGGTTTGCATGATACCGGTCCGTGGCGCAAAAATTTTGGGGATCATTGTTATATGGCAAATTCTGTTGCAAGGCACATCGCATGTGCAAAAAAATAAATTAAATTTAAAAAATTAAATATAAAATATTTAATTTTAAAAATGTCCTTGTTTTCACGGCCGTTGCCATAGACATCAGGTCATGCTCTTAACTATAGCCGTCTTGTTGTAAAGCTTTCAAGGCGATAACCCTGGTGTTTAGATTTAGATTTTTAAGCTTTCTAGCCTGTAAGAAAATATTGACACCGTAACCGGAAGTGCATTGCAACAGAAACACCGGAAGTACTCATTGGTGATGAATATTTTCAATGATAAAAAATTGTAGCTTAAAATAGTTTCTGGTTGCTTCACTAACTCTGCATCCTGATGTCATTTATTTTCATCACGCTGTTAAGGAATGGGTGTCTACTTGATTAACAAACCATTCTTCTTTTTTTTGTCAGATTAAACCACATATATACTCATACACCTCTCCCCCCTCTCTCTCTCTCTCTCTCTCTCTCTCTCTCTCTCTCTTACACACACATATTATTTATTTATCCTCTTTATTCCTTTTAAATTCTTATTTCATACTTGGGCACAGTTGTCAGACATCTTTTCTCACATTTATTCCATCTACCCGACTTTTTTCTTTCTTATTTTCCATCACGTTTCCTTTCTTACTTCCCCCTTTCCTCTCTCTTTTTCTCTTTCTCTTTTTCTTTTTCCTTTTTTATCCGACATTTCTTAATTCCTCCCCTCCCTTCTCTTTTATTTTTACTCATCTCCTCTTTTTCACTTATCCTAATCTATTTTCACATTCTAGCTATCTCCCTCTTATTTTAAGTTACTTTCTCGTTCTCTCTTATTGTCACTTATTCTCTCTTACGCTTTGTCTCTGTCTCTGTCTCTCTCTCTCTCTCTTCCTATTCTCTCTCTCTCGCTCTCTCTCGCTGTGCTACATCCTTACCTCCCAGCATTATCTCGACCTCGTTTATGATCTCCTGAACGTTTATGTAGCGTTTTTTAAACTCTACAATGTGTGAAACACGAAGCATTTTACATAAAATGAAAATGAAGCAGTTCATGAAGAGTGAAACATGGAGCAGTTCACAAAGAGCGAAACACGAAGCAGTTCGCAAAGAGTGAAACACGAAGCAGTTCACAAAGAGTGAAACGAAGCGGTTCACAAAGAGTGAAACGTGGCGTCCTTTACAAAGCGTGGAAAATGAATCAGTTTATACTTTAGAGTGGGTGAAACATGAAGCATTTTACAAACACGGAGCAATTTGCGTGTCAAACATGAAATAATTTTCAATAAGTGAAACATGTAGCAGTTTACAAAATTGCAAAATGAAGCAGATTGTAAAGCCTGAAGTATGAAATACTCTACAAAGAATGAGAAATTAAACATTTTGTTGTGGATTCAGGGTTGAAATCCGGTACCAATAAATAACAAATACCAGGAATGAATATATGAAAATAATGTATTAACGTAATAATACAAACTGGTAAAGCAGGTTAGTAGTTCCAGGAATACGGGTTAGTAGCAATATATATATATATACAGTCTTTGGTATTGAAGTATTGCTGTATGACTTCTTACTGAATCTACGTGCTCGCTCACGGTGACTCTTGCAACGCTGTTACCTCACCCTCACTCTTCCGGTTACCTACAACCTTTTACTCTGTCACTCTGGACTCGACTCCTCGGTCTTGCTCTCTCATGTCTTCACGTAGCCGTAGTATATGTATATATTGGGTGAGTCCATTTGTGTAAAAAGGGGAGAACCCCTCAACATATTTTAAAAGTGAAGTATGAAGCAATTTGCTAACACTGAAACATGATGAAGTTCAAGAAGCCTGAAATAGTTGTTGGGCTTCGGTTTCGAATATATGTAGCTGTTGATAATGCTTCTGCCCAAAATATCTTTGGAAGATTCGAATCAGCATTGCTCATACAGTTTCTATCAGTGTCCGATTCCTCCTTTCAGCCACTTCATTTTGCTCTGGTATCTTAGGAACAGTATGCTGATGGTGTACACCCTCCTTTTGTAGGTAGTTTTCTAATTCTCTTGAAGTGTACTTTGCCACCGTTTTCCGTGCGTAATGTTTTCACTTTCTGTTCACTAGACTTTTCAACAATGTTTTTCTATCCAAAAAACTTCTTAAAAACTTTTCCCTTGTGTTTGAGCCTGTACACCCATACAAATCTTGATTTAACATCAATAAACGTGACAATGTATTCAGATTCACCAAGTGATTTTGCCTCAATTTTTCCATATAATGTCACTGCGTACAATTCTAAGAAATTCAGCTGATCTGCTTACACTAGTTTTTGGAAATGAAAAACGGTGACGCTTTCCATCCACGCATGGTTCACAGAAGCTCATATCCTTAGTGACATTGGAATCAAGACCAGTTACTAAATGATCTCTTGCTGGTTTCTGCAAATTCTTTGCTCCAAGATGACCAAAACGCCGATGCCAAATTTCTTCTTTACTATCATTACTTAAACATTTTGCTGTTGCATGGGCCGTTTCTAGTTCTTCAACATAGTTCAAATAGTACAAGTTTGTATTTTTGGTAGCTGTAGCAATTGGTTTTTGTTTTATATCCAGAACCTGACAATTTGTTTCAGTGAATACAAACGTCTTTCCAGACATTGTAGCTTTAGCTACACTCAGTAAGTTTCATGATATTTTGGGAAGATATAGAACAGCGTTTCCCAACCTTTTTACCCTTGCGCAACCCTTAAAATAAATTACATGTCTCAAGGAACCCCTGAGCAAAAAGCAAAATTATATACTATATCTTTCTCATTTTATTTTCATCATAGTTCATGTGGTAAATATCATAGTATATATTTTTGAATAACTAGTTTAAGGAAAAATTAATACTTCTTTGTCAAATTTTTCGGTAATGCTAAATAAAATTCCTACTGTTCGTTTATAATACTTCACCAGAGAGTTTTCATTCACACAAAAATTCTAAACTCAAACGTAAAAATAAACATAAGCAACCAATATCATATACTTATAAACAGTATACCTTATATAAACATAAGTAACCAATAATATCATATAATATAAATGTAAACAGAACGAAATCAGATAATTGATTTTTTTTAATTTTTTTATCCTTTACTGACAATGTTGAAAAGATATAAGATAAATCAAGGCAAATTGTCCTGTGAACCAATAAATGGGCTAAGAAAATTTTACTTTCAGAGCCATTTGATAATGTTCTCATGGAAACCTTGGGGACCTTTTGCGGAACCTTAGGGTTCCGGTGAACCCCGGTTGAGAAACGCTGATGTAAAGTCTCATACAAGCTGCATTTTTGCCGCTTTCGATCTGGATCATTCACATTCAGTTCATTCGTTCCTATTCCCAAATGATTCGACTGAATAACCATCACCAAGAGTCATTTCCTATGCTGCATCCAGATGTCTAAAGTTTAGAAACATTTGCACATCATAACACATGTGACACGTTGCTCCATAGTCCACACTCATATTCCCCTTTTCCTTATTAGTTAGTAAGGCATTATTTGCAAATAAACCAACAGAGTGCCCGTTTTCTGAGTTACAGGAGTCTCTTTCCTTTTGGAGAAATTCCTTTTCCAATTCATCTCCTTTTTTTGATCTCGACCAAGTAGTCGACAGTTGCGTTTCACGTGCCCATTTTTATCACAGCGGTAACAGTTTGGTCTATTTCTGTTATATTTTGACCCCATAGCTTTGGATTCAGCACTGCCACTTTTTTTCTATAAACTTTGATTGCTCATACAACAGTTGTTCAGTCACCAATACCCACTTAGGCTCATCCTGACTAGTTTCAAGCGCTGTCACCAAATTATTATGAGAATTTGATAGGCTAAAAGATGTACAACTTGATGATCCTCATTAATGGAATCGCCGATGACTGAGAATTCTTCATATATTTCCGCCATAGCTTTAACATGTCTGTTAACAGAATCACCTTTCAATTTAAGCGAATATACTCTTCTCCTCAACGCTAACTTGTTCGCCGACGTTTTCTTTTGAAATTGGTCTGCCAGTTTTTTCCACACCACAGCAGGATCGTCAGGGTCCCCAATTAAATACAAAAGTGACGGTTCGATTGACAGTACAATCGTTGTCATGGTACGATCTTTCTATGACAGGTATTTGAAGTACAAGTTCGCATTTGTTTTGGATTCAGGAACAAGCTCTATCTCTATTTACATTTTTCAGACTGTTGTCCTTATCTTTATTATTGCCATATTCACGACTTTTTCGAGCATACTAAATGACATAATCTAAGGCCTAAATGCCTACACATTTTAGTTAACCTGATGAATATTTATGAACGTCTTTAAATATAAAAATTCCTTTTCGAGGATGTCGCATGACGTAATTTAATGTCTAAATGCCTAGACATTTCAGTTAACCTGATGAATATTTATGAGCGTCTTTAAATATAAAAATTCCCTTTTGAGGATGCCACATGGCGTAATTTAAGGTCTAAATGCCTAGAGATTTCAGTTACCCTGTTGAATATTTATGAGCGTTTTTAAATTTAAAAATTTCCTTTCTTAGATAATATATGGCGCATTCTAGGATCTTACACCTAAACTTTTCAGTTAACTTGATGAATATTTATGAGCGTTCTTAAATTTAAACATTTTGAGTAACTATCAAATATATACTTGTTGCAAAATAAAACCATCACATTTGCCTTGATAAAAGTCTGTCAGATGACGAAAGGCGTCGGCTAAAAACTAAGTATGTTTGTAACGGAAATTTATTATGCAATATAGATTTCAAGATACATGACACAGTGGATAAAGGCGTTGGTTAGATCCAGTGACAGGACCCAAAGTGTGTGAGTTCAATACCCGGTTAAGGCAGTGGAGGACTTTCAGAGGGAAATTAACAGGAGATAACTGATAACTGACATTCATTAAACATGGCACGTGGAACTAGAACAGTCTACCCCAGTGAGCGAAATAAAGGGTTAAGTTCGACATTCCAACCACCTGAAGAAGGCCGGAGTGTACAACGGCCGAAACGTTGTAATAAATATGGCGACAAAGATAAGGAGAAGAGTCCGAATAATGTAAATAATGTACATTGTTATTATTTTGTGTGGATTCCTGTAGCTTGAATAATTACATAAATGCGCCTTGAATATGATGCGTACAAATCCATCACCATCTTCACAGGTACTAGATACCATTCCCCGTAGTTGGACTACCATAATTCAAGAACGCGTGGATTCTTTTGATGAATTCTACTCATTAGTTCTGACAACATTTGATCTATGATTTCAGTCAGGGTTCTAATCTGGTCAATCTTTCATTACAGTGACACATTCATCAATCATGAATTTTATGATATGCAGTTCCGTAATGATGAAAGATTTTCGCCTTCATTCAAGTCTAGTATCAAATGTTCCTTTTGATTTTGTATTATTGAAGCTATCGTCAATTTTAACCAATCTTATTGAACTACCCCTCTTTATGCAGCCATTAAGAGGGCGGCCTGTTTCTCCTTCATATTTCTTACTACAGCTGCACAAGATGGCGTCCACACAGTCCTTCCAATCATGTTCTCCTCTAGGTGGGGGAGGTCTTACTCGGAAAAGGTATCTGTGAAGTATCGAGCCATTTTGAAGGTCGTTCTGATGTTATATGAACCACAGATCTTTTGTATTTTCTCCGATAACCCCTTCAAATACGGTAGGCACACCGAAGCTTAACGTAAGACTGCAAGGACGTCGTAAAGCCGTAACATGAAGGGAAATAGAAAAATCAGGTGTAGCTGACCATATATCGAGGGAAAAGGGAGATCACTGCGGGATGAAGTTGAAATAATAAACAGAGAACATCACTGAAAAATACGAAAACTTAAGGAATCAGCACATATGCTAAGCCACAAAAAATCTCCTAAGCCGACCAAGCATAGAAATGAATACAATACGTAACCAGTAATATGGAGTGCCAGAGAAAAGCAATAAGAACAACAAAATTGCCATATGAGCTCTGGTTAAAAAATGATTAC